AGCATTCATTGCATACACTGGAAAATTTTAAAATTAGGTTCATTGCTCCTCTCAGTAAAATATCCAACTACTCGCAAATTAATATTTCTTTTATTTTCTTCCAAGGCAAAATTTACATTTAACCATAACCAGTGCTATAATTTTAGCTTATGGTTTACATTTTTTTTAAGGTTTATTTCAACGAACTTGATAACTATATATAATTTTTATCATTTTTGTAACTGACCTAAATTATAAGATAAGAAGAAAATAAAAAAAAAATTACAAGGCGACCACAAAAGAAAAAAGGAAAATTGAGTTCATTACACCAATTACTTTGGAAAACTATGCTACCTTTATCGAATTATATTAACGTATTTTTTTAGAAACGTGTTCAAAGAGCAAGAAGCAAATTTAAGATTTATTAAATACTGATAAGCCAACTATAATAGTTCAATATATTCGTAAAACAGAAGATTTTTCATGATATTAAATGGAGAAGGAATGAAAATGGAAAATTGTTTTAAGCGTTTTTTATTAAACCCAACGACCGATTGTTAAGGGTCTTTTTTATTAAATTTATAATATTTTGCGAGAATAAGACAAAATTTAACGACTGGCAATGTGCAGTTAATATTTACTTTTATAATACAACATTTTGACCGTATTGTGCAACAATAGCTCAACAAGCAACAACACAAAACTTCACTTGCTACAACTCCAAAAAAGGCAATGAGAATTGTGATCTAATGTGATAAAAGGATACATTTCAATCCGATAATAGATAATTTAAAACGGATGACTGTTGGTAATAGAATTATCGTAAGTATAATATACGTTTTTATTATATAAGTATATTAATATAATAATATAATTAAGTATATTAATACGTTTTCATTAATGTTTCAGTTAAAAAATGAACTATTGCCAAAATAAATCTAAAATCCCATTGACTACGTACGAGGATGTTATTATTTGAGATTACCGTTATATCATAAGACAACTACTCAAAATTATTGTATAAAGATGTACAAATGTTTAATACTTTGCCGATAAATTTAAAAAGGTATACTTAAAACACAATTAAAAGATCATCTGTAATGATATGTATTATATTATACTGTAATATTTATTTTGTTATTTGTAGTTACATTAATACAACAATAATATCTGGAAATTGGTAATTATTTTCAAACCAATTCAAGCCTAAAATTTTATTTTTCAAGAAATGCGCGACGTAAGGTAATTTTTAAATTTAAAAATTATAACAATTAAAGAACTTAAAAATACCATATTTTTTTTATTGTTGAATTTTTTTATTATATTTTTAGTAATACAAAGTGTTTTTAAAGAATTCTAAGGAAAAGAACGGCTAAGTTTTGTTTATCCCCTCTCCCAATTCTTTAATTCTTACTAGCATATGTAGCATAAACTTTAATATTGTTTTAGTATGTTATATCGGCACCTTTTGTGTATTATATTGTTTTTAAATATTAAGCATAGGTGACGCTATATAATATTTTATTCAATGCAATGCATACAAATACATACATACTTATGTAATAAAATTATTTTGAAAAACTTTAACGTAAAAACAAAATAAACACATAGAAAATAAAATTAAAATGGCAGGAAATTTAAAGAAAATTTTCTATATTGGTTTGGAAAACAAAAAACAATAAGGATAAAATCAGAATAACAATGGAATGGAAAAAAGAACGAAAAGATAACGATAAGAAGAGAAAAGGGCCAACAGGAAAAATTTTTTTTTCTTATTTTTTTTTGTATACTTAAAAAAATGGAAACTAAAAATCCTTGAAAAACTTTTCTATAAACTTTTTAAATTATTTACATTAGTATTGTGGTCGTTTTTAACTCCTATGTATATTCTTTCTCTCTCTCTCTATATATATATATATATATGTATATATATGCATACATACATATGCTTGCTAGGATCTCTTCTACATTCTATATCAAATTTTCCTAAAACCTTTTTTGCCCCCGCTGGTACACTTTATCTTATACTATATTTCTCTAATTTTCTTTATTACATTTTACAATATCACGGTTTATTTGGAAGGAAAATCTTTTCCGTTTTTCTTATTATTTTTATTTGTTTATTTGCTTGTTTGATTGTTACCCATATTAAAAGGACTTTAAAGAGAAATGAACGTAACAACTACAATAATAAAATAAAAAGAGAACAGGAAAACAAATGGTAATCATATTACGAACAAAATACAAATTTATAAAAAAAGAAAAGAAAAACAATGAAAATATTACGTTTTTTCTTGTTTTATTCTTCATCTTTTGGTGTTGTTGTTTGATTTGTTTTAGAGAAAGAATGAAATTGGTAATGTGTCGTGTAATCGACACGTTTAATTCACATATAATCATATAGGTTTTTTCTTTGGTTTTGTTCTAATAACAATCCTCTTCATTGTGTCATATATGTATGGCCCTTTTTTCAAAAATTTTTCCTTAAATTATAGAAGAGATTTCTTTTTCTGATTTTTTTTTTTAAATTAAAGTTACTACTCAAAGTTTTCGTCTCAAAACATTTTAAGGAGACCATATTATTGTATTAAATTATAAAAGGTACTTTACTTATTAATGTATTCGATGCAGCGAGCTTCTTAAATTGTATAGACAAAAGAATTTTAATTGGATACGGAATTTAGGGCTAAGAAAATTCTAAAATATAAAAATAAATTGACGATTGAACTTTTAAAATTGTTTTCTTGGACTTAAGGAATAGTTTAAGCTTTATGATCGCTTTAGAATTAAAAATTTATTTCAAATACACTTAAATAAATTTAAAAACAAAGGAGTTGAATCTTTGATTTACTATATATTTAGAGTTTCCGATCCCAAAATATCGTTGAAAATTTAGAGAAACGAATTTTTATTTGATTCCGAAAAATAAAATCATTGAACTTATAAAAATATTTTAATTGAAATTTTTAATATTGAAAAATTAAACATTTGAATTTTCTATAAAATTTAAATTTACACGAACAAAATTTAAATTTTTCGAACAGTAATAATTATCATAATATTTTGATTGTCGAATAAATTCCAAAAATTAATCCAAATCTAACCAATACAAAATGACTTAATGTTATTTTGCATACACATACATATATTCTTTCATATTATGTGCATTCCTTATATTAAAATAAAATCACCATATTATGATGAAAGTATTTTCGTCCTATTTTTAATTCTAATTAGTAATGGTCAATTTGTATTACTCGTATATTTCTCATCTACTTTGTATTTATTCTCTATCGGTTTGTTCTGTTATATTATAAACGGGTGAACACATATACATATGTATGTATATACGTACATACTAATATAATTAAAATAGATGAAACGTTAAATTGTTAAAATAAATTTTAAAATAAAAAAACAAATAAAACAAACAAAACAAGAAAATATAAACGAGAAAAATGAAAAAAAAAAACAAAAGTTTATACATATATCCTTTAAAACATATTAAAAAAGGATATTTTCTAGTTTTTATCTGCATGTAAGGAGATTATGTTAAACAATTTAAAAAACAGAAGAAGAAAACGGGGCAAAAAGAACTAAAAAAAAAATAAAATTTTGCAAACATGAAAATGAATGAATTGAGAACATTTTAGAATGAAAATGAAATAAAAAAAGAATAACAAAAAACTAGAAAAGTTTTTAAATTTCAAAAGGATATGCGAAAAATTATAATTTTAAATTGTTTTTTTTTTTTCAACTTAAATGTATCGAAAATAATTATTATTAATTTTATGATAATTTTTGATTTATTTAATATAATTATTGTTTTTCTTTTGCATTTATATTATTTTATAATTTAAATAATAAAAATATTTTGATTTAAAAATATTTTTTAATTATAATTTTAATTTTAAGAATTTCAAATGTGGAAGAATAGAATAGCGTTTAAGAAGTTGTGATGGAAATATCGATTAATTTTAAGGTTTATTTTTTAAATATGACAAACTATGAACTTCCAAAAGTGTTTATCAACATCATTCACCACTTCCATTTAGGATCCTTGACCATTTGCACTTCTCCTCCTTAACACTTTCCCCATACAATTCTCATTACTATTGCAGTCAAATTCAATTTTGTAATAATATGTAATTGGATTATAATAGAGTTCGCCCAACTTTATGCAATATTTTATAAATTTTAATTGAAATTCATAATATCGTTTACATCCTCCACACACAACGTCCTATCTTTATGCAAATTGTTATTTTTAATTTCTAATTTCAACATTTTCATCATAACTCTTCTTAAATATTAAATTAAGATAATTATAGACAATAACCCTTACCAAATTATTACCCCATTTCTAAAATATGAATCGCATGTAACAATGCACCAATTTGAACTTCTTGAGTTCACAAAAACCTGCTTTACAACGGTACGTTTTACGTAAGTATAACCCGTTTTCAAATATTTTTCAGAAGTCAAAATTAAGGAAAAATTGAATTCTAACTCTTAACATACATATTACAGAAAAAGCTATATGAAAGTGGGACCCTGCGAAAGGCAAAACTGTCATTACCAAAACAATCGGCAAATGAAAGTTCAAAAATGCAAAAATATTTTCTAATGAAAAGACGTAAAGAAACTTTGGTCTTTTGCGATTCTGCCCCCGAAAGATTTTACTGTGGAGTATTTAAAGTAAAAAGATTCGTTATAATTTTATTTTAAAAGTTTTCAATATTTGATATTATTGGTTAATATCGAAAACTTTTATTTTTCAATTAATAATTTCTACTGTTAATTATTTTCTTTTTTACACACTTCCCAAAAAGCAATATAATTTTTTTCTTCAGTTAAGGTGAAATTCAATTCACCACTCTATTACATATTAAGAATTTCAAATAACAACTGTTATACAAAACATTTGAATACAACAACAATTATGACATTTTTGCTGTCATATTTTAAAATGTCATTTTTTTCCTTTTGACGTTTTAAACAACTTTCTTTTTATTGAATTTCACTTTAGCTCATTAACATTGTAGTCGAGTCAAAAGAGGTTTTATAACTTTTTTTTTTCTTTTTAAAAAAAATTTCAAGTGTATTTTCAATAAAAACAGCAAAATAAAAAAAAATTGAATTGTAAACGAAAATAAAATTACATACACAAAATGTTTCGGTCTGTTGCATGTGAAATTCCGATTTTATTAAGAAACGTCCAAAAAGTAAATATATATACACAACGTTTAAATTCATCAAAGTTTTCATTTTTCGGTTTTTTACAGACTGGTGCTAAAGTAGCTGCAAATAATTATGCAACCGAGGCGACTGCTGAATTAAAAGTGAGTAAAATGAACAAAAGTCCATGTTCAAAGGAATTTTGAGTGTGTGTTTTTTGTTTTTGTAATTTTAATGTGGAAATTGGTTAAATATTTAAAAAAAAAAATCCTAAAAAATGTTTTTTAAATTGATTACAAAATAAAATGTAAGGTTATGTATGGCATGATGAAAAAAAAAATTTTTATATAAGTATGTATAATGTATGTATATGCCCACATAACCGTACTAATAGTATTTACTTTGTACTATATATACAACAATATGTGTATGTGTTGTTATTGTAACAGTAAGATAACGCTAGTTACATGCATAAAATAAAAAATTGTTCCAAGGACATTATCTGTATAATATCTTGTAATATGTGTAACCTACTTGTGTAGTTTTTGTTTTTGTAAACAATGTTTTAAAATGCTCTGAAAGATCTTAGAATTAAAACTCTTATAAAATTAAGTGAATTTAGAAAAAAATAATATGATATCAATATTAAAAAAAAAAATCTATTTTAGTTATAAGTGTAATAAATTTTTTTTTTATTGACAAAATCTAAAATTATCCACATGTATAACAATAAAGAAAAAAGAAGAAAAATAAATAAATTTCGCAGTTGACGTCACACCGGCTGTGTATATATAATACATTTCATATAATATATGTTTTTGACAGTATAACAATTTCTCAATTCAATAATAAAAGTCAACATTTAATACAAAATCAGCTGTGATTGTTGTGTCTTAACAATTTTTTTTTTGTTTCTTTTAATTTTTTTACCTACAATTTAACATAATTATGAAAAGCATGTTTATTTTAATTAAATAATTTTTAAAAAATTAATTATACATAGTTATAAAATATTTGTGGGGTGATATTTTCTAATTACTCTCTCTCCATAACAGCAAATAATTATAACAGTGCTGTAGTGCATATATATGGCCTCATATATGTTTTTGAAAAAAATAGAAAAAAAAACAAAACAAAATAGAAGAAGAAAGCTTATCATGAGTTAAAATCATTACTTAAAAGTGCTGCAGTGTTGTGATTATAGTTAGTGGAATTATAATTTTTTTTTCGATAATGTTGGAATTTAAAATTAGCAGGAATACATTTGCGTGACACAAAATAATTTATAATTGTTTAAGCACAACCATGTGTCACAAATTAGAAATGGAAAGCAAGACAATAATCGCGTATTACTTAATTATGTATCTATTTACTAGTGTTATATTAAGACAGAATTTTAATTCTAACACTTATTTAAATTATTGCAGATGGTATTAATTTAAACGTTCATAGTTATTTAAGTACGTACTCATATAAAATTAGTTTCTATCCACACAAAAAATTCAAATAAAGTTTTGTGACTAACATATGGTTAAAATATTTATATTTTTGATGCTAGTGATATCGTAAGTAAGTAGATTCTACCTGCATATTCGGTACATAATGACACCTGATTTTCAGTGGATTTCAAGAAGTGTTCTTCCTTATAGCAAAAACATTTTACAACAATCCTGCTTTGCCTTATATTACCAAGCATGTACGTACCTTGGTATATTCCCTAATCACTTGTCACTTGACTCTTCGTTTAAAAGTTTTCCACTTACTTATATTTGACGAAACAATAACAAATCTGTTTTGTTTCAAATACTTTCTGGTATTATTCTAGTACTTATTAAAATTAATTTTTCAATAACATGCCGCCAATAAAAAAAAACAAAACCACGTGATTTTCAATTCTATACTTAGAATATTTTGTGACAAAAAAACGTTTTTATGTAAAGCAGCAACTATAGTATAAATACCAAATTCCTTCATGCGCAATTTAAGTCAGAATATATTAAGTTCTATAAATATACGACATAGGTAGATAGGTAGATATACCAATATAATAGAGAATAATGAAGAAGTAAATTGCTATATACTTTTATCTACCTCACAATATTTTACCCCACACAAATTTGCAGATTTTTAAAGTTGAATGGAAAGGAATGTATAGTACTCGTAAGTAGGTGTGTAATATTTATTAAAAATTAGTTGATACTACTAGGTTGTGTGTAGAAAAATTGGTTGTATAATTCGGTGTTATGTAGGTACTTTATCAAGGAAATTATTGTAGCTATTTATATGTAAATATATTTGTATTATAAACCAGGTTGGTTTGGAAAGATGTGGATAATTGTCGGGAATAGTAAAATTGTCATATAAGTAAATTTTTTGTTTTTATAAACCTATTAAAAAAATGCAGTCCAATCTATTTTTCTATTGATTAAATTTAATGAACTTCTTATCTAACTAATAATATAACCAGTCTAAGTTGTAGCCTTTAAATAAAATAAGTATAAATAGGTAGCTGCCTTATATACATATAATGTTACAAATAATATTCTCATTCATTATCACGCCAGAAAAAGCGATTAAATAATTATAATTTTCAAGTAGAACCACTTGTAAATTTGTTATGCTTATCAAATTATCGGAAATTGTTGTGGTTTGTGTTATCAGTACAAAAATTAACAATGATTTATAATTGCCTCATTGATGTGTCTGCCATAAGCATCAATAAATAACTATGTGTATACTCAAAAGAAGGTGGTATATAGCTAGCAAGTTTAACAAAATCGTATTTTATGAAAGCAAGTATTGAAACTGAATAATAATTTTATCTGTTTTACCTATCTATGGCTAAAAATTTAATAAGGGAGCTCAATATTTATGAGCATAATATATGTAGTTTTTTTTAAACCGGAAATGAAATACTTCTATTCAAATATAAAATTTGTCATTTAAATTTCTAAAAATCACCTTTTTCTCCCTCATGATATTAGATTTGCTTTAATAAATTTGATATTTTTGGAATAAATTCTTCAAAAGTTTTTGGAAATTTATCAGCTCTTGGGGGTCCTTTATTAATTCCACTCCATAAAACCTCCGGATGCATTCTAGCATTTTGTGAAAAACTTACTTCAAATGATTCAGGTCTTGGAACAATTTGACCATACATATTCTTTACTATAACAAAGTTCCATTCTGGGAATCTTTCTTGTACAAATGATAAAAGTTCATTGGCCTTTTCTTTAAAAACAAAACAATCATCAGCATATTCAATATAAATGATAGCACGACTTTTATCAAAAACTGAATCATCTGCCCAATTAATTTTTTTTTTTATTTTTTTTGGCATTTTTATCAACAAAAATTATTAAGAATTTCAATATTACATTTGATTATTAATACTATGGGCGCTGAATTCAAATAAATTTTTAAAAATTTTTTTATTACAAAAACCTACTTAGCCAATAAAAAATAAATATGAAAGCATTAAACTAATTTTAATATACATTATTTATTTGACTATATATTCAAGCCGTTTAAGTTACATAGACTCGACAGTGGACCTGCATCATCAACTACAGTAACAAAAGAAGATGCTATTAAATATTATACACAAATGCAAACCATTCGGCGTATTGAAACAGCTGCCGGTAATTTGTACAAAGAAAAAATTATTAGAGGTTTCTGCCATTTATATTCCGGCCAAGAAGCTTGTGCTGTTGGTATGAAAATATTTTGCAAAAAAACAAATTATTCCTTATACTTAACATTAAGTAATCAACTTCAAAATAATTTTTAATAAGGCATGAAAGCTGCAATGAAACCACAAGATAACATAATTTCTGCCTATCGTGTTCATGGTTGGACATATTTAATGGGTGTATCACCATTAGGTGTTTTAGCTGAATTGACTGGACGTCAAAGTGGCTGTGCTCGTGGTAAAGGTGGTTCTATGCATATGTACGCACCAAACTTCTACGGTGGTAATGGAATTGTAGGAGCTCAAGTAAGTTATTTTTTTTTTAAATGAAATTATTACGGTTAAATTATAATTGAATCTTCTGTCTATGATAATATGATTTATAAAAAAAAAAATTTACACAGGTACCGTTAGGCGCTGGTGTAGCATTAGCTTGTAAATATAAAGAAAATGGTGGTGTTTGCTTAGCTTTATATGGTGATGGTGCCGCAAATCAAGGTCAAGTTTTTGAAGCTTATAATATGGCATATTTATGGAAATTGCCATGCATTTTTGTTTGTGAAAACAATGGATATGGTAAATTTAAGAAAAAAGCAAAAGAAATTATTTCTGTATTTACTAAGTAACTTTTCAATTTTTTGTTTATTTCGAATTAAAATAGGTATGGGTACAAGTGCTGAACGTGCTGCTTCAAATACCGATTATTATACACGTGGTGACGCACTGCCAGGTATTTGGGTTGATGGTATGGATGTACTATCAGTTAGAACAGCATTCCAATTTGCTATTGATTATGCTGTTAAAAATGGTCCACTTGTTATGGAAGTATTTACATACCGTTATTCTGGACACTCAATGTCCGATCCAGGTACAAGTTATCGTACCAGAGAAGAAATTCAAGAAGTAAGACAAAAGCGTGATCCAATCACGTCGTTTAAAGATAGAATCATAAATGAATTTGGTTTAGTAACGGCTGATGAACTTAAAGTAATAGAAAATATTTTTATTTTGATTTTGTTTTAATTTTATTTTCGAATTGTTTTTTTTTTTCTTTCTTTTACAAAATAAATATATAGGCTGTTGATAACACTGTACGAAAAGAAGTAGATGAAGCAACCAATAAAGCTAAAAGCGATAAAGAAATCCCATTAGAAGAACTTTGGACCGATGTTTATTCAAATAATCTTGATCCAAAAATTCGAGGCACCATTGGTTTTAATTTAGCTCATATTCACAAGAATAAAGGTGTAAATCATTGATTTAATCGAAAATAGTTAAATTAAAATAAAAATGAAATTGTTGCGAGATAAAAGTTTTAACTTTTAAAAAGAATTTTTTTTTGTGCAAAAATAATGTTAAAACTTATGATTTATTTTTGTCTTCTATTTAAATGCTTCTATTTGGAAAATTGTAAATTATTATATTAATTAAAAATAATGTATTTAAGTGAAAAAAATAACGATTTTAAAAATTTCTCAAAAAATCACTTGTAGAAATCGAAAACATACCTACCTACTCTTATTTAAGAAAAAATCAAATTGAATACAATTAGGAACCAAAAGTGATACAACTATAAAATTGTACATAAATAACCATAACTCAACAATAAAATAAAATTTTACAAAATAAAAGAAAATAAATTGTAACATAAATTTTGAAAAAAATTAGTTGAACTTTTTAATTATTTTAAATTTTTATTTAAAAACAAAAAAAAATAATTTATGCAATAAAAATAGTTTTTTCTTTCCATAAATCAAACATTTACTCATTCATTTAAGGCAAATATTTTTAAAGCATAAAATGTGGAATCCCTTAATTTTTAGGAAAGTAATATTAATATATACTGTTGCCCTATAAAGGCTTGCTTAAAAATCTAGCCGAAAAAATTTTCGTAGAATTGCCGACTTACGACACGAATGACCTTTTAAATGGATTAAAACTGTAAATTTTAAGATTACCTAGCGTAATTGACATTATGGCCTTGTGAAGTCACAACTGAATTAATTAATTCATTTAGATTGAAAAGGGAGCATTTACAAATTATATATACGGAATGAATTGGGAATTCTTGATGTACTCTTGCAGCTCTATTTAAACATTTATCAATATTAAAAAATCCTACTATCTACGATACCTACGATTTTTGTAACAATGTAAAGGACGAAAATCAGACGTAAAGTGTAATCAGGTGAGATATAATAAAGTATTTTTCATCACATTATTGTATTTATTTTTGAGATTCTATTTATATTTTTATTTCAAATTATTTAAAGTTTTCATTTTTAAATAGAAAAATGTAATCAATCTTTATTAAAAAGAACACAGAAAAACATTCAAAAGTCTGTTTAATTTTATTTTATTAAGTTTTATCATTTTTTTAATATCCTTTTTTTTAAAACATTGAGATTATTATTATGTAAAAGCTATAATTTTTCTTGAAATAATTTTATTTTACATTTTTAAAAGTAATTGTGCAATATTACAATTATATTTTTACAATTAATAATAATTTTAATTGATAATAAGTAAGATAATAAGATTTTCTTAAATAAAATTTTTAAAATAATAAAAATTTTTATATATTAAAAATGACAATGATTAATTTTAAAGGCAAAAAACGTACATTATTAAAAATATTGAGTAAAAATTTATTTTATTTAAAATATTATCTTATATTTTAATTTAATATATTAAAGGATATAGTTATAGGAATATTTACAACAATATATTTTAAATATCATACTTTCAATTCAATTATTATTACAAATTAATTTTAATTAAAAAAATTGTTTTGTTTTAATAATATGCTTTCTTTTCTAATCTATTTTGAACACAGAAAACTAATTTATAAATTTTATATTCTTAATTGACTTGTTTTTACATTAAATTGTCTAGTTTATGTACTAAATATAATTAAATTTTATAAAATTACTGAATTACTGAAATTTTTTACAATTTTGTTCAACAAAATATATAGAGCCCATAGTTAAATCTTTTACATACTAGAATCTGTTTGGAATCAAAATATTTACTTTTTATAATTTTTCATGATATTAAAATTATTTATATATTTATTTACATTGCATGTATAATATTATAACTAGATATTTGGGAATTAAAAATATTCATACAATTAGAATTCATTTAAGTATTATTATTAAAATAATCATTACATAAACTTATTTACATTATTTAAATTTTTATAAACTATTAAATTTAATAAAATATCTCCTATTACATAAATAAATGCATGTTTGTGTATTAATCACTAAGCTTTAATGTTTAAGTTTAATAATAATAGAACAACAATATCAATTTGTTTTGTTATTCTTATAATATGATTAAAAGATAAAGAATAAGCAAATACTTTAAAATTAAGTAAAAACTCTTAAACTTAAAATATTATTGAATTTTACAAAAAAAAAAAAAAAAATCAATTAAAATTTTAAAGATTAATACTTTAATTGTTGCGGCAGTAAGACAAAAAATTACCCAAGTAAACTTAAAATTAACAATAATTATGTATGTTCTTCGTATTCAAATTTGTAACCCATTAAAATTTGGTTGAATTCGAGTAATTTTAAGTTGACCAAATGAAAGTGTGAAAAATGTCCCTGAAAAAATTTTACTTTATTATTTTTTTTTAGAAAAAAATCATACTGTTGTGCTTTCGTAAAATTCTAGGTAATTTTACAAAAATGTTAAAATAAAATTCAAAAAGTGAAATTTTTATTTGAATTTAGGATTAATTTTTTTAAGAATAATTTGGAATAGTTTAAACTTGATTTATCCGCAACCAGTAACTCTGACTAAAATAACTTTACTTAATGTCTACGTATAAATAAAAAAATGTACTAAAATAAGAGAGAATATGAAGAATTTTATTGTTAAATAATTTTTTTAATTAAAATAAATGTAATTAATTATAGTAAACTATTTTAAAATGGCCATTAATTATGCAATAATAAATGTAAACTACTTTAGAAATGCATGCAAATGCTTTCTAGAGTAGCTTATTCTTAGATAATTCTAGTTATGGGAAACCTGAATATTGCTGGTTTATTACTATATCTAGGGTTTATAATTATAATACCAAAGGAGGTTTCAAACATAAAAGCACCAACTTAATTTTAAAAAATTCGTTTCTTCAAATTACATTGTGTTTAGGTCTTTAAAAAGTGAGTATACAATGTGCTAACAAATATATTAATGATATAAATCTAAATTACTTAAATATACGTACATATTAATGAAATTATATGGTAGCAATTTAAAACTTATCACACACTGACTACTATATAGAACTTAAAAGATAAAATTTAAAATAAATTATTTAAGGTGTTTATATTTAAATGATTTCAAGGTTGTACAAGGTTTTAACATTGTTTTGCTCATATTTTTATTAAATAACAATTTTTACATATCGAAATTTCAATGTCAATAATCATTTTTAATTTAATAATTTTGGAATTATATATAAATATAAATTCCAATAACCCTTTTCCAATTCCAATTTTTTATTAATTAAATTATTACAATAATTTTTTTTTCATTAACTATGTTTATACCCTTGTATAATCTTATAATAAACCTATAAATATCTATACAATACAATAAGTATAATGAGTACTATAAATAAACAAAAATGCATACATTATTAAATTTGGAAAAAAAAACAGATGGTTATGGTAACAAATTTTTGTTATTATATGATTAAGAAGTATAAATTGTATGATCAGCTAATGTTGACATACTTTTTTGTTTATTCGATGACGATGATGCTGTTGATGATGCACGAAATGTAAGTTCTCTTAACAATTTTTTTGATGTTTTCCTATAATCTTCTGATAGACCACAATATAATATTAAATTTATAGCTGAATTAATATCAACTAATGTATTTAATATAATAGCTAAAAAATATGCCAATTCTGAACTTAATATATTTGTAAAATATAAAAATATCACATAAATAGCCCATGGTATTTGACATAATAAAAATACAACAACAATACTAATTAAAACAATTGTAATTTTATTTTCTTGTGAAATGGTTTTGATTTCATTGGCATTTTTCTAAAACAAAAAAAAATATTAAAGAAGACAATTAAATACAAGTATAATTAATTTTATTTTGATTAAATTATTATAGTTACCTTTAATCCAGAATCTGATCTTGATATTGGAACTTGAGTTAATTTTTCTCTTAATTTAGATGCTTCATGTACAATATGTATTAGTAATGAATTAAATACAATTAAGACAATAAGTGGTATTAAAACAAATATTATTGTTACAACAATAGAATAAATTTGTACATATGTTGTATTAAATCGTAGATCGGTTTCTTCTGTTTTATAATAATCGATCTGAAATTAAAAGAAATAGATTTTGATTTTTATTCAAACAAAAAGTTGAATTGCAATATTTAAGCAACATTAGGGCTTATTCATAGTAATTTTCATTAGGGCTTATTCATAGTAATATTAATCTAGTAATTTTCAAAATATTCGTAATATTCGATATTAAAAAAACTAAGAAAAATAAACAGTAAATATTAATAACCTCAAATAATTTATATAAATAAAACTACGGCAGGCTAGTCACCTACCTAGTTAAACTCTATGACGCTATGAAACTATTGCATGAGAAATCATGCACTAGCCCTATGCTCCTTCTAGGAGTGAACAAAGGAAAAAAAAAAAAAAAAGGGCTTATTCTGAGTATCGAATAGTCTGAGTATCGAATATTACTATTCTGAGTAACTAATTGACAATTATCGTAAAAAGTTCGATATTTTTATTGTAAGCACAAATCAATTGATACAAATGATTCGTGTCTATAATAGTTTTTGATATTTTTACGATAAATATCACTAAAAATAAGCTCCTTTATTTAATACTCAAAATGTACATCACATTAAATTTTCATTAATAACATTGTCCAGAATTTTCATTGGAAAAGAGTACATAATATTTGTGGTATACGAGTGAAATAAGAAATCAAAACTTATCGATTCAACATTTTAAAATCATAAATTCTATATTTGTGTCACGTAGTTAATTAAAAATACTTCTAACCCACAGTATACGCTAATATAATACTTGCATTTGATGTAATCGCTCACCTTTTTGCAATTTTCCACATCATTTTGATTTAATTCAAAAGTTCTATTATTTTCTGCATCATTACAAATAAATTTTGTTGTTGTACTTGTATCATTTATATTACGTGCCAATTCTATTCTCTCTGGCTGTGAAGTCTCAAGACATGCTAATTCTTGATCACAATAATTACCAGTTTTTGAATTATATCCTTTAGTTTTATGTACAAACTTAAATTCAAATGGTTTTGCTATTGTACCAAGAATACAAAATAGGAATAAAGCTGAAAAAAAAAACGATAAAATAAAAATTAAAAAAATGATTTTAAACAGTAATCATAAAATTATTTTATTCCTAAAGTTTGAAAATTTTTAATAATTTCAATTTAACTTCAATTATGATTTAATTTTTTGACTTACCAATTATAACACGTTTAGCAATTGTTTCTGTACAATAACGTTGCCTATGTATTGGATATCGTACTGCTATATACCGTTCAATTGTAAAACTTACTGTTATACTAATTGATATATAAGCTGAAAATATATTAATTAATATAATAAATTAGAATTAATAAAAAGAATTTCCAAATATTCCAATAATGTTTATATTGAATAAAGAAAAAATTTTAGACTTACAGAATGCTTCTTTTAGCCAAACAATTGTACCATAAGAATAAAAGTATATCGCAACATAAAAATGAGAAAAACGTTGATAATTAAAAAGTTCCGAAAGTGAAAAGAATAAATAAAAGAAATCTGCAAATGCTAAGGCTGTCAAATAGATATTTGTCGATGATCGCATATGTTTCCTGAAAAGAGAAAAAAAATGGAAATTATTAAAAATATTATTTAAAAAATAATTTTTTTCGTTTCAGTTTTAGAGAAATAAAACTATTGGGTCCTGAGTTAAAAAAAAATTGCATTATTTGTAAAATAAATTCGTCCAACAAGTTATAGGGAGGAATTTTAATTCATGAAATTCAATTGATGGCCCATTTTCCCTGTTTTACTGTTTTGCCCTAAAATCAACATTTAACATTATAAACGAAATGGAAATTGTACTAGATCATTTTCGAAAATGTATTCTAAGTACATAAAACCTTATTTTTTTCATATTTTTTTTCAATTTTAAAGAATATTTCAACTGAAATTTGAACAATAGAAATAAAATTGAATAAAATTGAAGTAAAAAAAAAAAAGTTTTTTTTTTTAGTGATGTAGAACAAAAAATCAACCAACTTTTTAATTAATAAATTTTACGGTAAAAATAGTTTTTTTTTTTTATTTTATTAAAAAAATAATTTTGTAACTGCAGTTTAATTAACATTTTTTTCATTTCTATTCATTGCTTAAATTAATTAATGTTGTTACATAAAGAGAAAACAAAAAAAAAGAGCAGCGAGTAATTCTGGGTAATAGAACTTTTATCGGGGGATCGTGAGCGATTTTTTTTAAATTAAGTACTTATATAATTTTGTTATTCGTCCTCCTATATCAGGGAAATTTTAATAATTAAATGTAAAATTATTTGAATGAGTTCTCTATTAAGACGTTAAAGTGGTGATAGTAATTAATTTGATGCATGGTTCTACCCAAATATTTTATTTAGGTTGAAACTTTCTTAACTACCACCATACCACATTGTGTAAACTCGTATTTATAGGTTCTTTTCTAGGCGGTATTCTTCTTGTAATTTTATTTTGTACCCTAATTTCTCGGAAGGTTTTTTTATCTTAATCCCCTCTATTATGTATATCGGTATCGGCCGATAAACGATAATTTATCGGCAAAATTTTGTGTTTGTATTACCAACATTGTTTATCGGTAAATTTTATCGGCGTCGGGAAAGCTTTTTTTCCCTGTATAGGAAACGTATTAGCTGGTATTATGAAAGCGATAAATTGTCGGATTTTCCCCGATTTAAAAGCGGGTACAAATTTTTAGACGACAGATTTTTTTTTTTGTAAAATCTTCATTTTATCAAGGAAACTGGTGTAATTAATTGCTTTTTTAAAATGTAAGCATTTTTTCTAAATTATTTTCTTTCAAAATGTTATTCATATATTTTATTTAGGAGTAGAAAAAATGGAAGAGGACTTAAACCTGGCAAGGAATGATAATCTGAAATTCTGGATAAATCTAAAAAATGTGTACATATTATATAAATAATAAAATAAAATAGGTACATAAACATACATTTTGTTGTCTAAATCCAATGGATTAGTTGAACCTCTTATACATATGTCGTCTTTGAATAGCTTGCGTTTCTTCACTTACTACCGTTTCTTCACTTTCAAAATATAATGCACGCGACGTTTTCCCGATATATGTATGTATATTTTTATTTTACAAATTTAACAGAAAATAATTTGCTTACAACAACTTTTTAGCACATCAAAACCAAATTCAAAATAATTTTTAAAATTTTTTGAAAATAACTTTTGAAAGAAAACAAATGTCATTAGAAAAAAAAAACTTTTTCTCCAATTTACAAAAACAAAAATTTATATGAAAAAGCTTCTTTTAATCGGTTGAAATATTTTTATCGGTATCGGTTCATAATACAGAAGAAACCTAAAACCGATTAGAACTGCCGATAATATGTCGGCCGATACCGATGTTCATAATAGAGGGGAATATTCTTAATCTATTAATATTTATCTTATTTACGAAAATACCCGCAAAATATATACATAGTTGAATTTTACAGTCAGAATTCGGTCAGAATTTATTTTAATGCTAATACTTAAATACCCTGTTAATCTTATATATACGAGCACAAATACGTAAGTATGCACATTACTTTGATTATTCTTTAGTTTATGCTTCAGTTATGTGTTACATTTCCAAATAATTGTTATAATACTCGTTAAATTATTAATGAATCGCTAAGTTAATATTTTATTTAACAATAAAATAACAAGTTATGCTTAAATATTTTAAGTATTATGTACCGCGCCTACTTCTAAGAATTGTGGTCAGAAATTAACATACATAAACGTAGACTTTAAACAAATTTATGTACTTTGCAGGCTATTACTTTGGTATTAGAAATTCAAGTTTTAAAATTAATATCTAAATTATCTTAACTCTATTATTTTGTTGTATGGCATGCAAAATTACTTAACCAATATTTGAACTTTTAACTATATATGTATATAAAGTAATATTAAAATATTAAAGTAAAAAACTTTTTAATTGTTATGAAACGGCGCTAGGGGGAAACCCATACTTTTTTTCAAACACATACCTATATTTACTTGTGTCAGTATTTGAATATTGTTTTCTGAGTATTATGCAAATTACTTATATTACTCTTTTCATACTAACAAAAACCTGAAGTTTACATTTCTACGTACGTTAAATGTTAATTAATATTTTGGTATGTAGTTAAAATTTAAAAATTTTATGTGATTTTCAAATATTAAAGATGAGCTTTTACAATATTAGTTGAAATTGAAAAAGAATTGGTGATTACTCATAATTTGATGAGATTTTGTAAATAAACAATTTTAAATATATGTACTTATAAGTCTATAAAATAATAATTATATCTAAGAATCACTTAATTAGCTTGTTCAAGAATAAAAAATAAAATGAATATTTTGTTAAAAAATACAGTAGAATCTAGTTAAAGCTTAAAGAAATTTAAAATATTGAAAATTTGAGAAGAATTTCATCTTATTTATTGTTATTATCCGCGAAATCACAGGAATCTTTCCGATCCAATTAAGAGAGTAGTTGATTCTTTTGCTGTCCGCTTCGAAAAGAAAACGACCCTTTATACGTATACTCATGAAGTATTCAATATTTCTTAATTTTGATTACAGTATTTTTCATATGTAGAGAAAACCGCGACAGAGATGCTACAAATGTAGTAACATTTATAAACTTCTATTAAATTAAAAAAAAAATTCATATTTTAAGCGTAAAATAATCATAATTTAATTTGGGGGCGTATTTTTTACTACTTACTTATGTAACAAAGTTGACAATTTAATTATCATTTTCTTTTTATAATACTAAACAACATTAATATTAACATATGGCAATGAAATATTTAAATTTTCAAATAAAATGCCATTAATTAAATGAACACTTAATTCAATCATATTCATCTATGCGCATTCATGTTCGATTTGAAAATGATGTAAGTTGTAAGTATATATGCAAGTATTTTCAAATGTAATGATAAATATCTTAACTATTTCATTTAATTTTAGATATTAGAATTTAAATAAATATTAATAAAAATTATTATCGCAGACTTCTGTTACATCAATTGTATCATTTTTAATACTGCACCCTTTAAACATATGTAGAAGTTTAGGAAGTCATTGATATTTTGTATTGATGTCAACTATTCTATGAAAGCTATGCGTTTTTGATGACAACATTAATTAGAATTGTTATTAAATTAAGAAAATTTTCATTTAAAATCGTTTAATTAATAAATGTTCATTTAAATTTTGAATTTGAAGAAATGGAGAAGCACATATGAACAATTTATGAAATAATTTAAATAATTTTAATTAAATAACTAACGAAAATAATTCAATAACGATTACAGTCCTTTGATAGTAGAATTGAGAGCAGTGCTACATATAAGTACGTATATATTTTTGAAAACCAAAGCTACAGGTTGCTATTAAATTAGATTTGTTCAGTAACTACTTGCTTCGTCTGTCAAAAAGTGAAACTGTAAAATATTAGCAAACCAATATCAACAAATTGTGAATTATTCTCAGAGAAAGAATTAAAGAAGAAAAAAATTTCTTATAGTGTTTAATAGCATTTAATTTGTAGCCATACAAAAAGAATTCGTCATACAATATTCACACTATTTCTGTGTTGTAATTGAAAATTTCTAAGTATAATCGTAATTATCAACGTGTTGAGTATTAATGAGCAGAACTATATACAATAAAATTCATTGTTTTTAATATTTTCAATTACAAAAACGAAATCATTACCAAAGACTATGGTTTTGCTTTGATTATTTCAAATTCCGATAGAAATATTAATTTAATCTATTTGAAAAGCGTACAGAGCTTTTAAAATCAAAATATATAAATGAAATTTTATATATGTACTATAAACATTTACATAAAATATATGGGATGTTTCTGGCTCTTTAAAGACGATTAAAAAGAAAGAAAATCTCTATGAAGTGTTCTTAATAACTTGTCTGTAAAGGTTACTGACGCCTTTGGTATAGTGATTCAATTAAATTATTACTTGACTGGTACAAGATACCAATGAATCAAGTATGATACATGTGGTATGAAGACTTTTGTTGTCTTTATTCAGATAAATTTAAGAAAGGAAAACATTTTTGTGATAAATAAATTATGCGAAAATGGAGGATATCAATTACACTTTAAGTACATTGGATTATCTATTAAAAATAAAGAATTTCAGATTTGAAATTATGAGTGTTCAATGAATAATACTTGAATAATATTGTGCAAGTAGATGTAGGAAAGTACTTGTTTCTTGTAAAGAAATACTTTCCTACACGTTCGCTTTGCCTTAATGTGTCGAAAGCACATTCAATTACACGAAAACTGCATAAAGGGTGCTGTTCCATTCCACAATTATATCTTCATGTTGTAAAATTTTCTCTTATCACTTGTAGTCATTTTCTTAATTCTTCTACATATTAACCTGCGTGAGTTGCCAGGTTCGTATGACTGCCTATTAATAATTGTTTATATATTTTCCTTGTTCAATAACAGCCCATGTTTTATCTCAACAAAAACTTTTTTTCCATTTTCCTTCCCATTTCAACAGTGATATATTTTTTCTTCTCATATCTGATGGTTCCCAATATTTCTTCACAGGATTTAACTTCTAAAATTTAATCATCTACTTTAACTAAATTTGGATATCATTAAAATTTAATTTCTTTGAGATGGCAAACTACGGAAATATCAAAATTTTAAAAAAGTGCTTATCACTTTGCTTATCCCACACTTCTGTTCAATATTGAAACTATTATGACGTGTAGCGAATTGACGCAACTATTATCAAATTTATTATACAAGTCAAAACCTACTCATTTTGTAGGAGAATTTGAACCATGGCATATCTGAGAATTTTTCCAAATAAAACGCGATTTATAATTAATTTTTTTCTTTTTGTTGCTGATAAGTGCTCATAAAATTACAAATTTATTTCTAAACTTTTAAGTAAAGCTTCATTGTATTCACAAATTTCATATTTTTCGCAATCCTATTAATCTAAAAAGAAATTCAGAGTAAGAAAATTATTTTTTTTAATGAAATTTAAAAATCAAATCAAGTGATATGAATTTGAAATTAAGAAAATCAAAGTTTGCTGAATCTTTTGTATGTTATACAGGCCGTTTTATTTATAAATTTTGGAGTTTTTCATTGTCATTAAGTATTTTAAGGTTAAATATTTTAAGGTTACGGCTTATGTGCCATTTAATGGCAATAAAATTTCATGCGCGTTACCATTTGTGATGAAAAAATTTGGAAATTTAAATATAACCAAATTATTAAGCATGTGTAAATTAGTTTGCAATAGATTTTCAATATTTTCGAATATCAATACAATGTCAACGTTTTGCTACATACTCGAACAACTCTAACTACTCGTATTTTAAGCAAATCGTATTTCTTTGATATACGCTGCAATTTACGCTACGTTATGAATTTTTTGTTTTTTAAATAAACCCTTCTGAGTTATCTTCATCTGCAATTAAATGGATTTTGCAATTCTATAACCGCTACAAATCCGCCACATTTTATATTTTTTTTAACAAATTTAATACTGCCTGTTTTTGTTAAGCGCTAGAGTATTGTTCCACGCTGCGATTGTTGACATAAAACTATTTGTTTATTTTGTCTAAACCGCGTAATTCAACTATTCCAATACATTATTAATGAATTAACATGATTTAAAAAAAGACATTAAAATTATCTTAATGTTTTTATCATTTAACATACAAAGATACACAAGTATACCAATAAACAACATCTTAGAATCCGCAAAAAAAAAGAATCTGAATTCTTATTTACTAATTATAAATTCAAATTTTGTATGAATATTGAATTCTAATAAAGCCAAACACGCTGAGCTTTTGAAACGAAATTGGAGTTTTTTTTAAATATGTAATTATAAATACAGCCTGTCCATTCATATTATAATGTTTAACATATTGTATTGCACTGCCTAAGGTACTAAAATATCGCGGTACTGGTTAAAGAAAAAACAAAGAGTTTGGGGATGGTCTAGAACGGAATAGGAATTATGTATATGTTATGATGTTAAGAATTATTCTTGATAAGAATGCCAGAGTCAAATACATAGCACAAACTCGCGACAGCTTTTTTGCCTTTCAATCTTAAATGAAGAAAATTTTAAGTTTCCTATAGTTAACTGTTATATTATACTTAGTTATATTTCTAAATAAGCATTATATTATTAGTTATTGTTTTGCGTAGGAAATTTTATATTGTGTATTTTCAGCAGAAATTTGATCTAAAAGCAAATAATCACTAAAAAAAAATACTAAATTCCTAAGAAACATACTCAAATAAATAAAAATGTACACCAATTATAAAACTAAACATAATGTAAACGTAAGTATGTGTAGGTACACGTATGTGTATAAGGGAATGACCACATATTGTTATGCTCCGGTTTAAAACATACTAATTAATACTGTAATTTAATGGATCATCGAAGAATAATGACGCAACAGTAAGAATAGCTTTTTTATAATTAAAACTTCTTGTTATGGAATTCATTAATGACAAAAAGTTGAAAATAATTCTGGGGCAAGAAATTTAATGACGTTATTAATTTAATTAATACTATAAGAGTACGCCAACCAGATTACTTTCATGACGTCATTTCCAGTATATTTTCACTATTTTCCCCTATACATGTGAAGTTTTTATGTTAATTTTATATTTACGTACCGTCATTTGTATAACTCTTACGTTAGAAAACTGAACGAAGTCTTTTGAATCGAAAAATAATTTTCTCAGTAAGCGAAAGAATAGAGCGAACCGAATTGTGGCAAAGTACAAAGGTTTTTTTGGGATAAAAGTCGTGTATTATACTTAAACTATACTTACTTAACATTATATACACGTATTTGATATGATTAAATTAAATGGTAAATTAAATGTATTGAAAATACTTCCTGATAGTCAAATTCCCAAAAAAATATTTTGAAATTTTCTGTCAAAATTCAATTAATACTTATTTAATTAAATGTGTTATAAATCAGAGATATTTTGTCATATCATTAACATGCTAAATACATAATATTAAATGTACAAAAAAAAATCTAAATTTTCTGATTAAAAAATGTTTTATGGCGTAATCTCTGGTTTTAGTTCACGTAATTTATAATTCATAATGTAGAACAAATACAATTATTGTTCTTTAGAAACAATAAACTCATTTACAGTATAACAATAATTAAATAAATAAATATAATAATAATAATTCACTAGTATAACAAGATCATAATTTAAATTTCACTAGATAAGTAATAATTCTTTTATTTTTTGTGCTTTGTGTTCTAAATACAAAATTTTTTTCGATGATAGCCTATAGGTTCCGTTTATAAGTTCCGGCAAATCAATTTAATTATCTTAGTTTCATTCAGAAATACAACGTTTTATAACAGTGTTTGTGAGAGGGATGAAAACTTTCACATAAGTACTTAATATTAATTATAACAATTTTTTTATAATTGAAAATTAGGTACAGGTACATACAATAACGTGCTTTGGGGATTTCCTTTAATAAATTATTTTCTTAAAAGTTTTTCATTAATTTTTTATTTTCTGTTGTATCAAATCAACAATACACTAAGCTCAATTTTAATTGCATTAAGAAAAATGAATTATTTTTAAATCTCTTCATATGTACTTACTGAATTAAGCTGTGTATCACATAATACAATAAAATGGAGTTGCCTTTTGGACCTAGTTAGGTAAAGTACTTATTAATGCTGCATACAGGATTTGTAAATTAAATTCTCTGCAGGTATTTAATTATAATGTTCATTTGTAAGTTAAAAATTTATACAACTACTCAGTGAGTTGAATACGAAAAATGAATAAGAAAAATTTTAATTATCAAATATGTTACCTACGTATGTACATATATGGATAGTGTACCTACAAATCTACTTTACAACAGCAGCACAATACTGGTGTGACTACATATTATTTAAGTTTATGTATAAATTTTTTACCTATAAACTAATTGTATGCAAGAAAATCTTGGTCTGCAAACACTTACAGTACATTTTCAATGGTAGTATTCAATAAGAATTTAAACTGCGATAACTACTCGTAATATGGTAAGAGTTTAAAAATAAATCCTTCAACTTATACGAGTATAATATTGTCTTTGTCTACCCAGACTCTAAAGGTACTCAAGAGTTCAGTTTTGTTTTCCTATTTTTGTATATATTTGTATGAATATTTTTAAATCATAAACTTACCTTGTAAATATGATCATATTGAAAATATTTGCTAAACAACCAAGTATACATATTGTTGGATTAATTGCAGTTACCATAATTTGGCGAAAATTTTGCAGTGAATCTTCTGTCAACATTTTGTTAACTTGATTTTTTTTGTAAGCACTCACAATACCAAAAAGTTCAAAACAAAACTAGGTACTTAAAATATACCAGAAGAATAAGATTTAACAAATTTTAAATTTTTTAGTGCTTTTAAGTACTTTAGTAGATAAAACCACTATAAATTTTTAATAACTTGATTTTTTTCTTTTCAAAATTAAATATTTTCAAATTTGAATTTTTATCACCTCTCTAATAAATGCAGGCATTTTTATATTTTACACCTAACTGTACAAACATACATACATATACTCCTATTATATTTAAAACACCCAGTTTTTAATAGTAACTAGTTGATAATTTTAACTAGTATACGAGTACAAGTTTACACAAATATTCACAAAAACATTACATTCTTTGATAGCATAAATTCAAATAAGAAGGTAAACTACATAAGTAGATATGTAGGTACTAAACACTTTACAACACTGCATTTGATTTCTACCACAAAATTTCTTAAAACCTTATAGGGAAGTAAATTAAAAATTTCACTTAAATAATTTCGAATAACTAGAAGCGAATAATTAGCGCGAACTCTTCTTTATTTTTTCAATTATTCAACCGAACCGACTAAATCGTTAAACTACCAATCCTATACTAAAAATTAAACTTCAACTTGAAAAATTATAAACATCGCGTTCCTACATATGTTTGGTACTTGGTATGGTACTATTAAGTCAATGATATTCCCCTATATAATAGAACTTGAGAATACATATACAAACATACAAATATATTTATTAAAATATTTTTTTAAATACAAGCGTTCGCAAAGGCTATTAATGATGACTGTATAATAATAATATTTATATGAAACTTAGCAAGATAGTATAAACAGTAGAGTCTGTTTTAAATGTAACTCAACAAAATGTAGGAAAGAGATAAGTTTTTTAACGAAGTTTAAAATATTTTACTAGAGTTTTTTAATTTGGGGATAAAACACGTTCTTTTTGTTAAATCATAATTTATTGAGTAAAATATTTCATGATCGGAATTGCACGACATTTTTATATGCGATAATTCAGCATGTATTTGGTAATTTCTAGTAAACACAGTGGAGCAGTGTTATTTAGCTTTTGAATTTTAATCGGTAAATTTATAGGGCCAAATTACATTTAGGTTATTAAAGTAGGAAGTTTAGAAATTTAAAATACATAATTTGAAAAAATTGGGCTTTGAACACGGGGTGATTATAAATGGATGATATAAATTTGAAGCCAAAATAATTATTCTTTTAGATAGCTTTCAATGCTTAAAATTCATGGATATTACCAAAAATATAAAAAATGATAACATAGTGTTAAAATTAATGAGATTTTACTGTGCATAAACTACAGTATAGAAAATACAATATGTAGCTGATGTGTATTTAATACATAATGCTCATATATTGTAATGTGGCTTTAACCACCGATATATCCACTACCATTATAAATAGTTTTATGTTCCGGGAATCAAAACAAAAACAAGAAAATGAGATACAAACTCGTGTATTAACAAACAAACAAACATTCAAAAAAGTAAATAATAAAAAAAAAAAAAACCAAAACAAAAATAAAACTTCAAAAAAAAAGAAGAATTCCACATGAATGAGAAGAAAAACCGGTTTTGACCATTGATTGACTGACGAAAAAAAATATGAAACACAAGTTTCATACAATTCACACAATACAAACACAATATTTATTGCGAGTTTTAAATGAGAGAACAAGAGAAAATAAAAGTAAATGATAGTTTTGTAATTATTGTTTACATTTTATTGAATTTTTTACTATTTTCAGAAGGGTGTGTTACTGTAGTTAACAAGTTTTAATTAACAACTGCAGTTGTAGAAGACAACGGGGAATCTATAGAGAATGAGCCTTTGTTCAGAGTTAAGGTACCCATTTCGCATTTCCAAATCCTCTTGCATAAAAGTCTCATAAGAGCTCTGACAAATAAAACACACTGGAGCAATACTTAAGTCGGAAAATAGCCCCTGATAGAGGCTTCTATTAAAACAGTTGAATACATTACAATCTAGATTTTATCTTTAGCTACCTGCAATTTCGTAAATGCAATTCTAAATAGGGAAAAAACGTAAAAAGCAAGTTGATATTTCGCTTGTGCCTTCAATATTTAAAAAAATACTAACTCCACACCCTGTACTCCGTGACTTCTTTGAATTTTTATACAGTAGAATTCCATTCAAAATAAATTTTATAATTCATAAAATTATGGGAATTTTTTTAATTACTATTACTTTTTATAATATTATATTTCAGTATGTTTGTAATATTCTGGTTTTAACTACGTATATACATACTGACTACTGTATAATTAACACACAACATACATACATACATACATATGTACGCGTTTATAAGAATAGTTAAAGGAACAGTGGAATGTAAGCGGGACATTATTTAAAGTAGACCAATTTAACAGTAATTAAATATAAAGCTAAAAATTATTAAGTATACATAATGGACGAAGCAAATTAATTAATAAATTAATAATTATTGTAAATATTTTTACAGCTAGTCATACAAATAAATAAGAAAATGGTTTGTTTTGCTAATAAAAAATTATGTTCAATAAATTTCGCTTTTGAGAGAATTTAAGTTTCTGAGAAAAAAAATGTAATGGATATATTAAATTTATATGTACATATAATATGTAAATATCCTCACACATCTGTGTTAACATGTGCATGTATGTAAATGAGTGCACGAATTAAGAAATATACACAATACAATTCCCGAAGTCCATCACATTACAAAACACGTTCCATATTAAGTTACATTCACAATAATTATTAAGGCTTAACACATTGGGAATAATTTCAATATGAAAAAATTTTAATGAGGTTTTGTTTGGTGCAACAGAATTCACGAACATTTATAATAATATGTTGAAGAAAACCCTAACTACAACTCAAAATCCAAATTCAAAAAAATTTTATTTAAACTATTACTAAACCTTCGGATAAGCTTTAGTAACTAAAATTAAGGACTATCAAAATTACATTTTCAAAATTTTTTAATTAAACGTTCCTTATTATTTTGCAGCATATTCAATGCACACATATGCGCTTATAAACTGCATGACAAGGAATTGTTGAAGTTAATACTGTAGGAGAGCCAACACTATATTTTTGAATCAACAATACTATTCTTGACATTTTTCTGTTTATACATTGGTTTGTAGTCAAAATTCTTGGTTTTGCTTTTGTTTGCTGATGATGTTATAATTTTATCCCATATGGCCACTAAATACGTATACGTATATATTTATATAAGTACACACTTACATAGTAATATAAATTATTGTCACGTTATTAAGTTTTTTTTATGTACGTTTAGCATTTATTTATTTATCATTACGTCCTTTCGCAATAAACCAAACCATAATGTTAAGATACATACATACATAATTACATACCTTTTGTGTACATAATAATGTCAGATATTTATGAATCATAATTTTAATTTTAGCTCAATATTTTTAGTTACTTAATAATACAATATTTATTATGAAAGCATATAAAGAAAAATTGCTGGAATAAAAGGCAAGACGAAGTCGTGTCTACATAAGAACATAAAAAATCAGAGTGAAATTATAAAAAATATTGTGTTCCAGAAATCAATTAAAATTTGTTTATGTGCAAAAATGGGTGCTATAAATTATGCTCTACATCTCTTGATAATTAATGTGAATGGAAAATGTTTTGCCGTAGAAGAAAATGCAAAAAATACTGCAGAAGATATGGTGGGTACAATTTTTAAATATTGCTCAAAGAATATCGCTTTTTTAGGTTTCCTTAGTTAGCATCAATGTGTATGGGACTTATTCCTTACAAAGTTCTTCTTTTAAAATTTTAAGAAATGCGCAAATTGAACTCGATGTCCTACCTGAAAATGAAAGTTTGCATATGAATGTACATAAATTGATTAAAAATATGGCAATAAAAATAAATATTTTGCTATTGCGTTTGCTACTCCAAATTGAAATATTAAAAGTATTTCTAATTTTATACACGTTTTCTTTCAAATATGAAATATGTACATATATATGTATACCCATAATTATATGTATATGGCTACAAATCTTTAATATAATCGAAGTTAATATTTAAAATTGAAATAATCGAAGCTATTTTAACCTGTTTTCAAAAGAAAAATACAAAATTACTGATCAACGTCACTTTAATAACAAAAACTTTTATTCGGCATTATCTGAAAGCTAATCAAAAGAAAGGCTGACGATTAATTTTAAAATTTAATTTACATAGTCATGGTTGAGCCAAATTAGAAACAGGTATACATATTAAATATTTGTTTTTATACATACATATATTAAGAAGATTTACTATATTATGAATCATTAATATTTAAATTGACTGCAGCAGTTTAAATTTTTAATAAGATATGTTTGAATTAGTTTAAATCTTTTAAGGAAAATGCTGACCATATTGCAACTATTATAAGAGCTAAAACGTTGTTGCTTAGTTCTGTCTAAAATATTACTTCTTCATGATAAGTTCAACTAGTTTCTAAAATGTACCCAAAATATTTATATATCAAAATGTATCATAAGTGTGCTGAATCGTCTTTTCAATCGCACTCAAATTAAATTGTGCTCTAACTATTTAACTTATGATACTTAGATTAGAACATAAAAATCACATACGTATATACATATGAAATCTTGATTAACATGAAAGTTAAGAAGCTTATTTACTAAGTTTACTACACAATAAAAATTTTAATTTCTATGAATACCAAATTTTCCATCTAATATGATTCTGATTTAAATCATTACTGAAAAAAAATATGTAAAAAAAAACAAATAAATCTTGTAGTATAGTTTCGATTGCATACTTTCAGGATAAAGCAAAATATGAATAAAAATTTAATTTTCATATTTTTTTCTTTAAATTTAATTTTACTTGTATGCAGATTATGTCAGGCTACATTTTACATAAAAAAAATAAAATTTTTTTCTTCATAAAATAAACTTAACAATTAATTTTAATTCAATACAGATTTTATATTTTGATTTCAAATTTAAATCAAAATAACAAAATTATAATTTTCTAAATTTAAGTATGTATTAAAAACTCTTTTTTAGGTAAGCTTCTTGCTAAAAGTTTAATCCTTTTAATAAATAAATTTTTTATTTTTTAATTTTTTTTAATTTAGAAATGAAACTACGCATTTTTATTTTATTTTTGTAATCCTAAAATAAAATAAAATAATGAAAAGAAATTCAGAAATTTTAATTTTTTATAATAATAATTCTTTCAACAAGGAAATTAGAAAAAAAATTCAAATCAAGGATATTCAAGAAGGAAAAAACATATGAACATATCTATGTATTTATTTTTGTATATTAGAACACATAATGAAAATGCGAATTGAAAAGTATAGCATTCATTGAATTAGGATACGTTTTTCGTTGTTTTTTGAAATTTTCTTTAACTTATTAATGCTGCACAAAATTGTATTTTATTTGGGAAATCCTTGGAATGTTCAAATAGAGTAAAGGTTTTAACTGAATAATTTGTCTTATTTTCTAAAAATCTTGTATTTATAAGCATTTCCAGGAAAACTATCAATAATTGCTTTGCATTAAACATTAAAAAAATTAACGCTTCTTTTGTAGCAGTAAAAAGTTTTTCAATTATAAAAATAAAATTACCATTATTTATTAGTAATCTAGACTCTAAATTGTTTTTATAATTCTAAAAAATCAGAATTAAAATGAATTTCTTTAGATTTTTTTTTTTAAATTTTATAACTGCCATTCGAATTTCTTCCATAAATAAAAGCTCATCTCAGAATAGAATTAAAAATGCAATGTTCTGTAAAGTACACATACTCAGTCAATTCAGTATTAAGTTCATATTGAATTTTTCGAAATATCATTTAATAATAATTCGCTCACACTAAAACTATGCTTTTTTCTAAATTATAGTTTTTAGAATCATTAGATTCATTGCAATATAAAACAATATGACTTTTATTTATAGTTCTATTGAAAGCCAATAATATGTTGTTCAACATAAATTTAAAAAGAGAAACATGTGCAATATTTGTTTCCAAGATATTTCCATGGCATTTTCCAGAATAGAATTTTAATTAAATTTTTCCTTTAACAAATCATTGTTATTTTTGGTCTGTATAAATTGTGTAGCATACGGAACAACATACATATATTATAATGTTAAGAACTCTTATTTTTATAAAATAATGTCTTAGATTATGTTATACAAATGTTATTTAATTGCCTATACATACGAAATATGTAAATATATTTCATATAATTAGTTTAAGTAATTATAACTACATATACAATATGAGGAAAATAAACAAAGTTCTCTTATATAATTTTCTATGTTTATGTACTTTATTTATATAACGAAGTATGTATGCATATTTTTATACATATGAATTTGAATTTTATGCAATGTTTATTATATCTACATCTATTATATAATATTCTAATTTGGTATCTATAATATATCACAAATCATCAGGAAAATCTTTACAGCTTGGTGCATGTTTTATTTTTGGTAATGATGTTAAAGATAAGCTACGTCTACGTTGCTGTTTATATTGTTGTTGTTGTTGCTGTTGTTGATTCAATTTATTTGCAGGATTTTTATCCATAATATAGTATTCATCGGGCATTAAAATTGTTGTTTTTGGTGTTGTATTTGTTATAGATGTTGTTGGTTTTGTCATAGTCCAAATTTTATTTAAATTTGAATAATATGGGCAATTTCTATTATTATGATATTGTTGATCCATTAAATATTGTTGCTGTTGTGATTTTTGTTTATTAAATTGTTGATATTGTTGATTTTCTTGTAATTGTTTTGTATTATGTTGTTGTTGTATAGGTTTATGTTTATGATGTTGTTGCATCATTAATAATTGATTTGTTTTATTTGTTGAATTATCATCAATATTCCAATTATTTGTTCGAGAATTTTTATCATTATTAAAACATATAGTATTATAAATATTATATGATGATGATAATTTATTAAAATCATTATTACTGCCATTGTTACCAGACTGTAAAGAATAATTATTATTAAAACCTTGAAAGTTATTTAAATGATATGATGAAAATTCATTTTGTGGTTGAGATTTTTTTCTATCTTGTTGATATTTTTCATATGATTGTTTACGTTGTTGTTTTGATTGCTGAAATTGATATTGATTCTGTTTCATTGATAAAAAACCGTTATTATTGTTATTATTTTTTATATTATTTGCATTATTATTCGTTAATGATGATGATGATGGTGAATTAATTAATGTTGATGTTGATGGTGATGATGGTATTAATGTTGTTGATGTTACTCCTGTTGATATTGTTGCTATTGAATTAATATCTTCACGTAACGGTATATATTCATGACGTAATTGATTTGATGTATCGAAACGATTTAATTGTTTATTTAATAATTGCATTGGATATGATATTTCTTTTGGTTTTTTTGGTATTTCTCTATTATTACGTATTGAATTTGGTCTATGATTAAATGTATATCTTGAACTATGGCGATTCCATGATGTTGTCAATGTTCCTTGTCTTGTAAATTCTGATAGTGTTATATCCTTTTGTGTATTGAAATCAACAAATAAAAATATGAAATGAATATAAAAAATATTTTTTAAAGTATTAAAAATTAAATATTAAATATTTAAAGAAAATAGTTAAAAAGCAAATACTTATTGCATGTACATACATAAAATGTTACATAAGGTTAACAGTAAATTATTACATACATATAAAAAAAGGAAAGTTATATTGTAAATTGCTAATAAAATACTTTACAAATTTTGTATTCAAATTAAAAAAAAAATTTATAAAATATTTGTATAAATAATTTGTAAATTTTATAAATCCTACTTCTTAATCCTTTTTGTTTTTATTATGCCTCATCACTTCTTTTGATAAGAATATTCTATTATTCACAAAGAAATTTTAATTGTTATAATATTTTTTATTTTTTTTTTTGTGTTATCAAATAAAAAGACTTAAAATTTACATTAATATTAAAATATAACAATTTAAATTATTAGAATAAATAAAAGATTATTCAAGGCAAGATTTACTAACAATTCTTTTTTAAAAATATTTTAACAAATTTCTGAATGTCTGAAAAAACCGGAAATTTTGCACGCAATGTAAGTACAAAAATGAAATTTCTTCACGTAAAAGTTGTAATTTTTCTCTTTCCAACGTATTTATGTGAAATTTTAAATGAAATTTCAGAGGAAAACTGTTTGGTATACATCGTGAATTACTGGAGAATTGTTCAGAATATCTTAAATTTGTTCAAGAAAAATCATGTTTTTGTCAATTGGAATATGGAATTCCAAAAACACATTCTATTTGCAGTTTCCAAAGCAAAATAGGGAATTATGGTACTTGAAATATAATATTATAAATTATAACAAAATTTTCATAATCTTTTTTATTATATTAAATTAGACAATCCTTTCATATTTGGAATGCCTACATTACTGATCAAATAAAATCAATTAATAAATAAAAAATAATTCTATAAAATACTTTTCAAAGCAAATTACAACTACTGCACAACCCAATAATATACAGCAAGAAACAAACATAAAAATTATTTTAATTTATTAAAAAGAAAATATTTATATTTATGTAGCAAATATAATAATTATATTTGGAATAAATATTGATATTTACGAATTATTGAAAATTTTTTGTAGGTATTCTACTATTTTAAAAGTGTTTCAAATTCAACACTTTTATGATGGAAATATAGTATCTAATCTAAAGGCATTTAAATAGTAAAAACTTTTGATGGTATTAAAATTTTTGATTTTTCAAAAACTTTCCATGATTTTTTAACTTTTGCATTATTGTATATTATATTGAAAATTTAAGAATATACTTATTTATGAATTTAAAAATTTCATAAAATTAATTGAAATTTTAGAAAAATTTTCTGAATATTTGCATATTTAAGTTTGCATTGCTGTTACCTAAAAATGAATGATTAAATAAGTAAATGAAATTCTACAATTATAATTGATTTTTTAATTAATATAATGGAATTTAATAACTGATTTTTGTACAAAACTTCTTTATGCAAAATAAGAGTTAAGAAAGTAGTGAATAAAATAAATTTTTACCTTAATCAGAATCATGTAAATTTTGTCGTTCATTCAATATGAAATCCATTTTGACCCATTTTGGTATTCTAAAAACAATTTTTTACTAAATTACAAATTGTTATTAACCGAAATTCATAAAAGCTTTTAGAGAAATTCAATTAAAGGTGAATAAATAAAAACCTTACCTTTGAAATTTGTATTTTCTGATGTTCTGTAAAAAGAAAATAATAAAAAATATCACAGCTTCAAACAATAAAATTTCAAGGGTTTTAAAACTAAGTAGATACTCCTTACTACCTACATAAAACCCATGCCAAAACGGCAGTTCCTCTTATATTTCTCGGTTAAGTACTTTCTATAAGAATTTGTTTTGAATATGTACGTACATACTTATATGCATACAAAAAACTCAAGAGCGTTTTTAGTATTTAAAAGGGTAATGAAATTTGAAAACGAAATTTATAAAACGGTTGATCATTTTGTTGCTTGGTGTACCCACCCAAATTGAGCATGGTTACTCCAAGAACTTAACGCAGTAAATTAACCTAATTTTATTGACAATTAAAACTTTTACCGAGTACTCGTATTTGACTTACAGACTTTTAAAGTTTTTCAGTGCTCGAACAGTGTAATTTCAATTGATTTTATAAGTATTAGGTGCTTATATGAAAGTTTTTGAAGTAGCATGGAGTAATTCTTATGTAAGAATATATTTCATGCAAGGACCTACTTAGGTTAAAAAATTCTCAAAATTTGTAAAAGGCACACTAATATTAAAAATTCAATAAAGTGTATTAATTAATTATTAAATTATTAATTTTCACTGTTTTATTATATAAGGAAACTTAATTTTAAAACACACAATACGGCGAAATTTAGAAAAAGAAAGCGCGAAAGCAATAATTATAAAATTTTAAAACACTTCAAACAAAACATTCAAAGTCAAACCCAATAATTACAGCAAAACAAAAAAAAAAAGCTCAAGCTACACCAACTACACCTACTACATAACTACAAAGAGAGAAAAAAAATATTTCAAATATAAATTTGACATTATTAGCTGGCTTTCGTTTTATTTGAAAAATTTTTTCTTTCACTTTTTATTTTAATAACAACAGCTAACTAAAGCGTTACACATGCATTTAAACCAATTTTCTCAAAGTATGAAGTTAAAATTTCCTAGTATTTCTAAAACTAATCAGTTACATAAGGGCGCTGGCAGACATGCAATCTTTAGTTTTTAAATTACAATTTGATTGCAAATTGATTGCGCCTAAACTTAAACTAAATTGCAACCAGTTTGTAAAAAATTACAAACTGTTTGATGGCTTAATTGTATGCTACCATATAGTGGCATGTATGCATGCTTGAACACAAATAAGCAATCAAACAGTTGTAAAAGTAAAAATTACATATCTGCCAGCGCCAATATAAAAATAAAATTTTTCTTTTTCTACTTAAATCTTGAGAATTTTGTTTAATTTTTTCAAATAAATTTAGTAAAATAAAATCTAATTTGTATTTTAAAAAATGACAATAAGAAAATTTTCCTTCTGCATTGTCTAATGTCAAGTGGCGAGATCATAAACCGCAATAAAACAAATTTTTTCTTTAACGATTTTTCTTTTAATAAATTAATAATAAAATAATTATTTTAACAAAATAAATATTATGTAAGTATGTGGATATATATATGTAAATGTTTTAATAAATAATATTTTTAAATTTTTATAACATTACAATTTACTCTACTTTTATTCATATATGTATATACATATTAATTTTTTTCATTATAAAAAAATAGCTTTGACATGTGTGCGTTGGTTTACGAAAAAAAAAATTTTCAATTTCCCGATTTTAATTTTTCTTTTTTATTATAAATCAGCTGTTGTTACCATTGTAGTTGATTCAGTATTTGTTGATGTATAATAACGACTTCCATTTCTAGTTTTAAAACTATATCCAGTATTACTACTAACCTGATGACGATGATGATGATTACGCATATTATTTATTAACTCTTTAACCGTTTTACGATATTTATCAGAAAGTACACAATATAAAAAGAAATTCATTGCTGAATTAATATCAACTAACAAATTGAAAATATTTCCAAGAAATAATTTCAAATTTCTATCGATATCTATATAATTTTGCACAATTAAATATATTGACCATGGTAATTGACATATTATAAATAGTATAACAACAGCAATTAATACAATTGTTATTTTATTCTCTTGTGATACTTTTGATGTTTTAGCAGCTGTCAATGATTTTGATGATGGCTGAAAAATAATATGATTATTTAATATATATTTGAAATATACGGTGGAAATATGAATATATGCTGGGTATAAAAGTGGGTAAAGAATTATTTTAGTCTTACGGCAGAATATAAAGGTAAAGTAATACATTAGCATTTTATAAAATATCCGGAATTAAATGAACAAGCATTTAATTATAGACATTTGAGTTTTGTCATGTAAACAAAACTAATTTTATACATTCTCTTGTATGAAGCTAGTTGTCTTTATATATATTTCCTACATATTTGAAATATGTAGGAAATATGTCAAAAAAAAATCAAATATATACTCAATAACTCTAAGCGAAACATCGCGATAAAATCGATATTTTCCCCAAAATTTGTATTCCTTATTAATCGATGTTTGATATATCGGTATATAAAACACAACTCTACTATCAAGTGATAAAAGAAAGACGCGCAAATTAGAATTCAGGAACGCGAAGCAATTAGAAATTTTAAATAAAAATTTTAAAGTGATGTTAGTAATAAAAAATTAATAAATATTTTTATCTTACCTTTTTAGACATTCTTATACTCATATTTGTCATTTCAGTGCGTAAAGTTTTTGATTTTCTCACCAAAATAATTAGAAATGTATTAAAAGTTATTAAAATTGTTAATGGAATTATAACAAATACCAGTGTTGTAAAATGAAAGAATATTGTATAATATTGTTCATTATTTCCAAATTCAGAATATGTATGAGTGTGATAATCAATCTGGAACAAGATGAATAGGTAATGTTATATAATTAATTATTTTATAAATGAAAACCAGGGTACAGAATACGGAATTATGCTATACATAATACATACATACTACATACATATGTATGTACATTTGTTCTTACAAGAACAGCATAACGCTTAGATTGAAAATTTCATAAAAGTACTTTGTGATGTGGATATAATTTTGGCATTTTGTGAGTGCTTTACACGCTTAACACTCAATTGATATTAACTTTCCTAAAGTTTCCCAGGTATTTCCTTTCCCTTGCAAACGAGAACCAAACATTCTCATTATAAGGTTCATTATAAAATATCATTATATTTTCATAATAAAGTTCATAATAAAGTGCGTATAATACTCTCTGGGAGTAATTCTTAGAAGTGTGTTTTTAATGAAAATTTTAAATTATTTATCGGAAATCACTCATTAAAATAATTCTCAGAATAATCTCTAGCATCTCCAAATTCATTAAATGTGAATTTTAAAAAATTTCCAGTAACAAAAATTTTAACTTAAAATTTCAATTATATTTATTTGAGTCCAATTATCGAAAGAAATATCAAAGCTAAAGAATTAATTTACATCAAAAACTCTATATGATTGCATATGCACATATTGCAATCATATGCAATTGAAATACACACTTTAATTTTAATGTAATTGCATAATGTATGTATACGAGTAACATAAATTTAATACTTACACAAGTCATATTTTTAACAAATTCAGTGGTTTTATTTTTTGACATTGAAGTTTTAATTACTCCTCCATTGGACATTGTTTGTAGAGCACGTCCCACAGTATCATCTACATATGAATATACATAAATCATGTAATATACAATATAATTTAAAAATATAAAATATTGTATAAAAAATTTATAATTAAAAATTTTTATAAATAATACATTTGAACATACATACATGTAGCTGTTATATAATTAAAAAAAATATGCATATGTATGAAAACAATTTGAATAAAACGTAAATTTACCATCAATATCATCAATAACATCAATGCTATTCACAGAAGTTGTAAATCCAACATTACCAACACCAATTCCATAATTAATAATATCGTTATCAACATCATCAAAAATATCTGATTGTCGTGTTATGTTCATATTTGTAAGATTTTCATGTAAATTATTTTGAATAGCAGCTGATGCAGGACATGGTTCATTTGTTTCCGTATTAAAATAATTTTCTTTAACGTCAACTGAATATTCAAAAGCTGTTGATACTGTTAATACTATACATAATATTGAAATACCTGAAAATTAATAATGATAAATTTAAATATATGTATATATATATATATATGTATATGTAATAGTGCGAAAAATTAAAATTAAAGGATTTTAAAATATATTTTTATTAATAGTATATTATTATACTTATAGTATTTTCATTTTGAAAATTTACACGTATATTAATTAAAAGAGAAAGGACAATTTATTTTAATCTGTTATTGACATCCTTTTTTTTTATTATAATAATTAATGATAAATAATTATTGTTGTAATGAAATAAAGATCTTTACCTACAATCACTTTTTTTGCCAATTCTTCTGTACAAAATTGTTGCCTTCGTATCGGATATCGTACAGCAATAAATCTTTCAATTGTAAAACATGTTGCTATGTATATTGATATGTAAGCTAAATATAGGTATAAATTAATAATTATATTTTAGTTATATATCTTTGAAGAAAATTAAATTATTTAATATAAAAAATATAATTTTCTCTTACATAGACCATCATGAAACCATATTATTAAACCAAAACATCGCCAATATATCGGATGATAAAGATGAAATGATTGATAATGCTGCAATGTTAATAGGAATGTTGTGGTCAAATATAACATATCAGTAACGGCTAAGGCAGTTAAATATACATTCGTTGAACATCTCATAGATTTTCTATATTGAATAGGTAAAACAAAAAGCAAAAAAAAAAACAAAAAGAAAAAAATTCAATGAAATTTTATTAAATTTGAAAATATTTTTGGTATTTTTACAGATTTTCTCCTAAACTTATGCAATATTTTTTCTATAAATCTACATATTCAGAATTTAGTGGTACGCTAGCGGAATTATATTTTAAAGTAAATGGAAAATTTTTAAAACCGAAACAATTATAATTAAATCATTTATTAGAATACCGAATTTGCACGTGAAAATATGGATATGAAAATTTTAATAGCAACTTTGTTATCAGAGAAATATTTTGAGGTTATCCACAAAATATTGTTATTAATTATAATTAATAACATTGGAAAGGAGGACATAGAATGTTATCGGATATTCAAATTTAAGTTCATGTAAGTATCTTTGAAATCAATTTTTTTTTATGTTGTTATTAGATATTTTTTTTCAATTTCAAAAACTTCTTCAACTCTTTTGAGTATTAAAATTACGACAAAAATTTTTCTATATTAATTAAATTAAATTCGAAATATAAAAAAACATTTTTCAATTAAACCACTCATTTTTTTATAACTTTTAACTAACCAGACCAGAAATTTTCTGTTGTAGTCAAAATAACAAAGATAAAAAAAAAATTGAAATGAAAAAATAAAAAAATGCGACAAAATTAATTGTCTCTTACCCTCTAATGCTCATTATTTTCTATTATAAAGAATAAACTTTTTACCGCATTTCAAAAGTACACCAAAAACACAAGAAGCAAAAAAATAAACTTTGAGCAAGAAAATTTAAAAATAAAAGGGGTAAAATTTATTTTTATATAACGTTATCCTTAATGTAACCACAATTTAATTCAAGGGGAACTTTAAAAAGCATGCCATAAAACGTACGTATGTCAGAGCATTTAGGTACATAAATTTAAATTTTGCCCTCATTTAAAAAAAAAATGGTAAAAATAATTCAAGGTTAAAGTATACACAAAAATTGATTTTATTTTTTTTGATTTTTCAAAACATTGATGATTTTATAAACGTATAATTTAAATGATTGATGGGGGTGACGCAGAATCCCATATCAAATGTTTCGAACTCTGAATGTTTTTTGAGTTATAACGTTGAGAAACTTTTGAGACCTTAATGCAAAAATATAAAAAAAAAGAATAAAGAAATGTGTTCATGTAAAATTACAAGTCTATGGTATACAACAATGAAGAATATACTGAAAGAGTGCAGGCATACTTATATGATATTTTAATAAATACTAAATAAGTATCATATTCTTAAGTCTTATAAAACATTATATAAGAGCAAACATTAAAAACAATATGCTGTTTTTCTTTTACTGCCTTATTTGAGATAGAAAAGTGAAAAATATTTGTTTTTTCTTTTTCTTATTATCTTTTTTCGTCATTTCTTGTGATTGTATTCTGTTGTTTCCTCCAGAAATTATTACAAACAAAAATTGACACAATGTGTTGCTTCTCGATGTCATCATAAATTTTACATTGACTTTTTATTCTTTATCTTTTCATATTGTTTTTCTCTCTTAATTTTTGTTTGATTTAATTAAAAAAGTTTTAGTCTTGTAAATATATTCATGTATTTCATATAGATATATTTTCAGCTATATTTTTGTACGTACGATTTAGGAAAAAATTTTAAGAGCAAAAAAAATTTATGTAACAGTTAGAAAACAATATTCGAAAAGATTTATAAAGAAACACGAGGAAAATAAATTCAAAAATATTTTCAAAAAATAAAGGAATGAAGAAAGAGAATGAAAATGGTCGGTGTGCAATTGTCAGATCTTGAAATACGTAGTTTATGAATTTATACGAGTAGTAGAATGTGTGTGCTGATAAGAGTTTCTTCTTGTAATAGTCTCCCCAAAAGCATATCTGTGTGCACATTTTTTGTTTATTAAAAGGTATAATAACATGAGGTATTTACAAATTTCATTTACTGTCACTCAAAAGCGTACTCAAAATTTGTCCATCAACTCAACATTAAGGGGCTCTGGCAGATCCCTAATTTTTAGTTTTACAATTCCTGCTTGATTGCAGGAATAATAAGAATACTAATAAGCAAACAAACAGTTGTTATGTTTGAAAATTTTTCCTCTGTGTAACTTTGTTTGAAGTAAAAGTAATAGTAGCTCTAATGGAAGCACATTACATTTGTTTTTTTTTTTTTTTGAATTCTTCCATTTCAATTTAAAAACTTTGTGCTTTAATAAAAAAATTTATGGTGGTTAAAAGCTTACGTATGTTTCTAGTATGTTTTTTTTTCCAAGTTATTTACTGGTTTTTTACGTTTACTTCTTACATTAGGGAAAAATGTTGAATATTTTGTTTTATTCTTTGAATATGAAAATACAATGAATGAATTTTTATTTTATATTTTATTTAATTTGCCAAGGTCTTTTATTATCAATTTTGTAAATTGAAATCCTTAAAAATCGAATTATCTACAATATTGAAGTAGTAATTTTGTTATCATTAAGAAAAATGAATAAAAATAAATTTATGTAATATGAAATAATTTTGTAAAATGGAAATAAAGTGTAGGGGTAATTAAAAAGAATTTTTTGGAATACATGTTATGGCAATTCTTACAGGAGCTAAAATAAATTTTTGATTTAAAAATTATTTATTTATTTGAACAACATTCTTCATCTAGGTAGTTTTCGAATTCCATTAATTCTATTTCTATTTTTACCTAAAAATACTATTTAATAAATTAATTATTAAAGTCATTTTTAAAGGTATTCCGGAACATTTCAATGAAAAAGAATAACAACATGTGTCCTTTACATTTAAAATGAAGTAACTAAAATGATTATATATTAAAAGAGCGAGGAACAAATAGAAACATACAACGAAGGATTTCAACGGCAAGGTGTTCATTCAGTAGATTATGGGCAACCTGGAACTCACATAAGAATATTCAACGCTTTACAGAAGTGAAACATGGTTGGTGCCAACGATAACAAATGTCTCAAAATTGTACGGAATATATTTTGTTCACAAAGAATTTTCAACTAAGAGCTGTAGTTAATGACGGGACAAGATTCAATGGAAATTTAGTAGATCTAGTAACATCAATTACACGTGAAACCCTGGAATGGAACCCCCAAGAAATGTGGGGAGGTGAAATGAGATATGAAGAAGAATTGTGCCGGAAAAGTTGGAAATAACCAATAAAACATGAGCAGGAATAAAGAGATTGGCATAAAACAGAGAAAGCTGGAGAGGTTGTGTTTAAGTCGTATGTTCCTTAGAAGAATAATAAGGAATGAAAATCAAAATAATTATAATAAAACTGCATAATATAACATTTCCGTTTCTCTTCTATTAAAAGGATAGTAGGCACAATATTTTTTCTTTGGGAAAATTTGAAAAACTTTTCTTCCGAAATTTAGATGAAAGGAAAAAAAATGTTTTTTGTTTTTCAATTTATGTCCTGTTTATATTTGGTTATTTTAAAACTCATTTCCAGTTACCAGAAGAGGAAAACAGTTTACTAAAACTTTTACAGCTACTAACGTACATACCCTAAAAGTTGTCTTCAGATTTTAACAAAGTAAGTTTTTTTTTTAACGCGGCAATATAAAAATAAATTTATTTTCGTGTAAAACTTTTATTATCACATGCTAAAAACTTATATTGTGCCTTTCTCAATATATTTTTTTTTTATTTCTTGGAATTTTATGAGAAAAATTTAAATTCAAAATAAAGTGATGAGAAAATTTTATTTTGTTTTATTACAGTTTTATGGTGGCCGATTAAGTTTTTGGAATTTTAGTTTCACGTAAAAGAAAAAAAGTTTTGTCAGACCATTTGGGGAAATATATGGAATAAGCTTGCTGTGACTGTATAAAATTGATAAATATGTGTGCCAGCTATCAGAATAGTGTTATGATATATCAAGCAAGCATAATTTTGTATCATTAAACATATTTTAGTTATAGCTGTATACAAGTTCATTAATTTCAACTGTAAAAAATAGACTAAACAGATTGATGGAAAATATTTTCGTTTGTGATCTTTGGAAATGGTCGTGAAACAATATGTATATGTGAAAAATTTGGGATCTGTAGATAAGAAATAGCGGTAGAGGCGACCACAAAATTGAATAATGGACTGCAAAAATGATGTGGACATATTCATATATGAACATACTTTTTTAAATGCAACATAAGAAAAGTTTAACAGATTGGTGTGATTGGTGTTTCTGGAAATAGTAAAAGGAAACAAAACAGTGGTGTCATTCATACAGAATGTTATAGCACAATTGTAGAGGAAGTGTAATGCCTGGAACTAAAAGATCTACTCGCTTCATTAGGTTAAGAAGTGATATAAGAAAACCGAGGAGAATTGAAGTGAACGATTAGTTTATCATGAAACAAAACTACATCGATAAACTTGAAGGGATCTAGCGAAATGCATTTAAATAAAAAGCAGATTGTTGATTTAGCTACTAGACATTAAGATGAAAACCAGATTACAGAAACTAACACAGTAAAGAGGTGAGTTGTGTAGTCTTAATTATCATAATTCCCATAGGATAATGCACTTAAATGTTGATTTAAATTTAATGCATGATGGAATTCAAATATATTTTCATGTTTTCTAAACAATTTTTATAACTAAATTTCACTTCAAGTAAGATTTAAAATTTAACTTAAGAAAAAAACCTAGCAGTGTTAATAATAATTATATACCTTGTCAATACAACAACAGTTATTGAATTTCCAATCAATCCTACAATAAATACAATTGGAATAATAATTTTTTGTACAATATCACGAATTTCTGTAACGGTTTCATGTGTTATTCCAGTTACATTAGCGTCCATTGTTTATATATAAATTCTTGTCCTACACCTTCAAATTTGAATTGTTAACATAATAACGTAATATGTGGTTGATGAATTTCGCAATCCGTATGTTGTTATTTTTTTTCTTCAAACTAAAGTATGTTCGCCATTTATAGTGTTATTTTACATTTTATTTTTATTTTATTTAATTTTATTTTTTATAATATCTTTCAATGCATATTTTTTAGCTGTTTTTGCTGGTACTTTTCTATAAAATGCTGTAACATTAAATTTTTGTAGTTGAAATTTCAAAAAAAATGTATAAATTGTCCAATATGATAACCTTATGTTAAGTGATTTTTGATAATCTAATGTTGTGCGTGATTTAGACAGCTGAGCTGGTCTTTAGGTATTATCAAAATGTATTCTAATACTGGAAATCGAATGACTAATTTCCGCCAATGAATTTATTCAATTGATGGTACAAAAACTGATTTTCACTTCAGTGTCCTGAAAAGAAAATTTATAAGCAAATTGTTAATTTTGATGTTGAATTGAGTTTTTTTGATTTATTTTTAAAATAAGGTAATACCTTCTGAGATATTTATTCATTAAGGTTAGTCTTCATATTTCGTTCTGTATTCTATCTGTATTATGTGAATAGCCTCATGAGCAACATGAGCAAAACTAAATACATAACATTTTTTACTAAGAATTTTACGATAAACGAAGTTTATAATAATAAAAAAATTAAAAAAATTTTTTTAAAACAAAAGATAAACATAAAGAAAGCAACAATGGAGGAAGAGCGTAGTAGGCCTTCACTTAAAACTTTTAAATGATCAAATCAAAAAGTTTTCAAAACATTAAAAATAATAAATAGCAAATATGATTAAAAAATTGTGCGTACAAATTTAGGTACTTTTGATTATTTATCTATACGTATATATACATATGCACATATATTAAAAGTGATAAAATTACAATGGTTTATAAAAATTATATTTCCAAATATGCTGTGCCCATATGCAGTTGAAATCAGATCAAAGCAATGTACATACCCAAAAGATACTTTTTTCTGGGTATCTCATATTTGGAGAGAAAATGCATTCAAACTTCTTTCCTCTTATGTGCTTTAACGCTGTTTGGTGTTATATATATACATATATGTATACCTATCTATCTGTGTATCTATAAGAATGTATATCTGTAGAAATTAATTTGAAAAAATTTATCAATTTGTTAAGTTCAGTTCAAGAATATAGTAATATGTTGTGGAAAATATTTATATCATAACATTAAAGTCCACTTTATGTTATCGGATATTTAGTTTAAGACTTTTCACTTGCGGAACTTGTTATTATAATTAAAAAAAAATTTAATATATAAGTCTTCAATCAATAAAAGGAAAAATCTTTTTTTCTTCTATGTACATTTATTTATAAACATTTTGTTATCTGAAAGCACGGATATTCTTAAAATCATTTCATATTTTAGTCCTTTTCAAAAGTATTGTATAAGAAAATAGTTTTAAGATAAAATGTATTTTATGCCTCTTTATTTTTTTCTTTATGCATTTAGTTTATGACAAAAACATAGATTTCCTTTGGTCTTATAAGAAAAATAATAAAAAAATTGTTTCCAAGAAATATAAATAAGAAATGAAAGAAGAATTATCCTTTTTGTCCATATAAAATAATAAAAAAAAAGAGAAATGCAAGACTTTCTTAAATCATTTTTTAAGATGGCGAAGAAAAAAGAGGAGTAAACCTATAAGTATGCAATCATTGTGACATCTGGTGCATTAAAAAAGTTTCTTAATTAAGTGATCAAAGAACCGCAATTTTTTTTTTGTTCATTTCATCACATTTCATTTTATCTTCAAATTATTTTTTTTTTAATATAGGTTGAAAATACACATTACGTATTAACCCATATTAGCCAATGGTGTAATGAAAGAGGTGTTTTTTTAAGAAGGAATTCGGTTGAAGAAGAAAAAATCATTGCTAGGAATTTAATTGTTCATTGGAATCTGTTGGAAAATATGGTTTTTGAACTTATAAAGGAGCGACTAGGATAAGGATAATTTCAGTTGCGATAAGTTTTTAGGATTCTCAACTGGAAAGTAAGTAAAAATAAAAAAAAGCTCTCCTTAAATATTTACATTTTTTTATTGAGTAATTTTAATGAGTTTTCTCTTTTAGTTCCTGAGATTAATGTGATTTAGTTTCTGTAAATAAAATAAAATAATACTGACACAATTATGCAAAAACTGTACTCGAAACTGCAGAGTATGTTCTCAATCTATTGCGCTAATAAGATGAATTAAGGTCATTCTAGCGTGGTTATGGTAAATGACTGTATTACTAAAACAGTATACCCAAGTCTTTTTTTTATGCGGATTTTTTTTTGTGTGATTTTATACCTTGTCCAATATAATAATTTTCATTCTGCACTTTTTCACAAAATTGTCCGTCAATGTGTTAAAATTTTTTCAAAGATTCAAAGCTTTTCATCATTTTTTTTTGTCCGCTTATCACTTTTAAAAGTATGAAATTTTTATAATGCAACAGTATGCAAATTGCAAAAGGAAAAAAAATTTCTGTATTATAATAATTTTGAAATGGGGGAGAAAATTTGTCTTTTGAAATAAAAGCCATCAATTAATTATTTTTCAAAAAGAGTGTTGCGCGTATTATAAAACGTGAAAAGTATATTTTCCGTAAAATAAAGTTTTTCTTAATTGAATTTTAATGGAATTTTAATAATTAAAGTATACAATTTGCATCATATTATTAATACAATTTAATTGAAAAGAAATTTAATGATGAACATAAATTTTTTTAAGTATTTAAGGATTAATTGAAGTTTAATTGAATTGATGTTCAATTTATGTTTCAGTCTTAAAATGGACACTTGTACATAATATATTATTTTTAACAATTAATAATTGTTGCATTGAAAAAAGGATATGAGGAGGTTTGAGTGCTTCTACCTTTGGATTGTAGAAATTAAATCAACATAAGTAATTAAACGTATTTTGCCATCTTGCCATATAAACTAAAGGAGGTGCACCGATTTAAATCCCGCTAGTATATGACAGAATTCCCTGGAGACTTTTTTTTTTAAAGATATCTAAGAACTTTGAAAAACTTTTAATTAAAATTAGAATTTATAGGATCTGATCAATCAACAAATTATTTATATTTTCCCCATTATGACTTTAGCAAAACCATTAAACCATATTTGAAACTGAATAGAAAATTTTATTGTGCAATAAAAATATTCATTCTGATTGACTAATTGAAAAATTCGTAGAAAAGAAAAATTCAGTAATTATTATTACGTGAAATATTCTATAGACGGTGAGAACTGAAACATTTTTTTTTGTATTTTTTGGCAATTTTCCAAAGAAAACCAAATCAAAAAAGAAAAACAAGAAAAAAATGTATGAAACCAATCAAATAATAATTAAAAAAATTCAAGTAAATTCATAATTGATTTAAATGTTCGGAAATTAAAGGATCCCAATTGCTATTTTGATGTTCAAATTTTTTATAATTAAATTTTTTAGTTTACATAACCTGACATATAAAATGCAGTATCAATGTAGTACTACATTGTATCTGTGATCGATATTGTAAAATAAGAAATGTATACAATGTGACAAGATCCAAATTACAAAAACTAAGCACAGTAAGGAAGCAAACAAAGTAGTAAAAAATCGAGACTACAATAAAGCCGTTTTTAAAGTTTTATTACGCTATTAATACTGCAGTAAAACTGTAATAAAACTTTTTTCACTTGGATATCAGGGATATTTAATATGCAATTTAATGGAACCGTCATAATTTTACGATAATTGAACATTGTTCAATCATCTTCAATTAGAAATATTGTTTAGATCTAACCTTAACCCGAATATTCCGAGTTAAATAGATTTTTTCCCGAATTTTTATACAAATTGTATATGTTTAAAGTGCGTAATAAAATACTAAAAGAAACGTTTATTAACGTTTATTTACACATTATACACAATTTTATTTAAATAGAAGGTAAATAGAAACGAACTTATAATATTTTTAAAATAATTCAGAAAATTATTCTAAAAATGCTTATAAGGTAATAATTATATTTGAATGTCTCTAATATAACCAAAAACATCATTATTGTGACGGTTTCATTTTGTGATTGATACAAAAAAATTATTGACAGAGAAAATGACGTTGGCAATTTACACATTATTTATCAAATGTGTGCTGTATATTAATAAAAATAGCTGTACATTTTTCATAATTATATACACATAGACTGAAAATTTATTTATATTCTTATGTAAATAATGATTTTTCATTTGAAATAATTGAAAATTGCTCAAATACATACATATATTCCAAAAAATAAAAAAAAAACATTCTATTTTAATTAGAATTTTTCACGATTTTCCCATTAGCACAATGAATTAAAAGCACATAGTAAAATGCATATATGTAAGTGAGTGTTCGAGGCTCAAGAGTACTCCCGCAAGAGAGTGATAGTTTAGCCTCAGACGAGAGTGACTCCACATAAGAAGGAACCAACAACTGACATTTTCCTTTTTGAGACCCCCTTCTAGAGTTATGAGGCCTCAAAGTTTGAAGAACTCAGAGTAATTCCAACCTTGAGGTTTCATAATTCGAGAGGAAGAACCCAAAAAGCAAAATTTCAGATGTTTCCTGTATCACTCTACTATCGGAGTACTGCTGCGTCTCGGATACTCTGTATATAAAAAATAAGAGTACATATATGTACATATGCATATTAACAATAATAAAGAGTTAATTCGGTAAATATTGATATAATTTCTGATCGAAATGTTTGTCTGAAACTTGTGGATAAAAAAAAACAAAAAAAAAATAATGGCAAATAGCCAAATTAAAACAAAAAAAAAAGAGTTTGTATATTTTGTTTTTGTTCTTTTGTCTACCCAAAAAGTTCAAAATATTTGTCACAGCACATTTTCTAAATACATACATAATTGTATTACCAAAAAAACGATTGGCGGACTATCCAATAATTAGTTTTTTCTCGTAGTAAGAAAAATAAATGTTGCTCTATTTTCATTGTTGTATGGTTGATCTACATTTTAATCGTACGTTA